TAGAAAGATCTTGATATTTATCATATCCAACAAGTTTTTCTAAAATTTATTTTTAAAAATTATGACCAAGGTACATAAAGCAAACATAAAATTTTCCCACCTAGTAAAATTGTTAATATATTGCACTTTTAAAAGTCTAAAACTAACTTATGGTGTGATATCAAGTGAAGTAAAAATAATTACTGCCCTCTATAACTTTTCTTATCATTCAACAACAGATTTTTTTTATCATAAGCTGAGTGGTTTACAGTTTAATTTAAAGATAAAAAATATCTTAGTTCATTAAATTTCACTCCAGATTATTTTTTTCACTATGCTTTTAGAATTGCTAAATGAGGTACCTGTTCACATAATTATTTCTGGAGTTTGTTTAAAATCTCTGAAGTAATAGTTCGGACATCTATGGGAATAGAGCATTTTGCATAAAAATTTTTATTTAAAAAAAAAGAGTTTAAGAGGGTTTACACCTGAAGGCTGTTTTGCATAAGTAAGGCAATTTCAACCTATAGATATTTCAACCTGATTTTTTTCTCTTTTAGTTCTCTTTACTGCAAGATGATATTGTTGCCAAAAACTAAGTCTAATGATGAATTGATATCCAGTATTATATATATGTATGGTGATTGTTGTCATAAACAAGATTTTTTGTGAGAATTATAAGAAACCCATACATAAGAGATGTTTTATTACTTAAGAATTCGTTTGTGCCAGTCTCACCAAGGCACTAGTCTGTGTAAGAGTCATATTTTTTGTGATCCTATTCGATATTCTAAACTTTCTGTATACATACAATATTGCTTATAGAATGGAGAATATAGCCTAATTGTTTAATGAGAAAAACATTCCATGTTTGTCAATCAATTTCAGTGGCACCTCATAAATGTACAGTTATTCATATATCAAGTAAAATTGTATTTCCTGAAGTTGGTAAATGTTTTCATTAATAACCTTTTGGCCAGTATGTTGTCAATTATAAAATTACGTTCAATTTCAGATATCTTTATTAAATTTATGAATTCAAGAAAATTTCTTAACCCCTTGTTGTGGTCAGACTGCAAATTTACCATTTTGACAGGTCACTGAACCTATTTTGAAGTTTGGAAATAAGGGAATTAAATGAGATGTCTATGACTAAAAATTTACAAAGAGGCTTTTTAGTGTTGTTGGAAATGAATGCCTTTTGAACAGATGTATGCAACCTTGATCTAGGTTGAAGATGTGATCCAATATGGCCACCATAGATATAAAGAATAAATTACATAACTCTAATATTATGGGTTTTTTGGGGTCCATTTTCAGGCTAAACAAATAACGAAATTAAAACATTTGCCTATCTGCTATTGTGTAGGCCACATTCATTGCCTAGCTGCAGTTCACTAAGTGTACAGTGACATTAACAAAGAAGTTGGCCTTTACACCATACACACCACTCATAGAGGCAGTGCATAGCCTGTTTGGAATACAAGACAATTTTCATAAGTTTAAGTCAGTTTTCTTGCACACTGTAATTTATTGTTATTAATTATTATTTTGTAATTGTAACATTTACAATTTTCATGTACGGACAGTTAGTCATCTTGGATTTTGGAAAACATTTTAAGTTCTACAGTAATTAATTTGCACATTTTTTATGATGAAATACAAAGATACAGTAATCTTCATTCGGACAACTATTTGTTCAGTTTTATGAATGAGTAGAATATGGTAATTAATAAATTATATTTGAGTCTAATTTTAGGTACTATCTTTAATATGAATACCTGTAAGCAATAAATAACTGAAGATTGTAGACAGTAATGTAAGTGATGTAAGTGTTATGTATTAAATGGTGATTGGCAACTAACAGATTTATTTAATTTATCCAGAATTCATTTCAGTAGTGTACTGAAGTTACATTGATGATGCTTGTGTAGGTTACAACCTCCAATCCCATTGGTTAAGCTCGTACATGTTGCAAACACAATTTCCATTTGTGGAACACTGTACCATTATGAATGCCATGCAGGCATTAAGTTTAACTGCACAGGGTTGCTTTCAGTGTTATAAATGTCAATTGCATTTGTTTTGCAAAGTGTAGGCCTATATTTTACCGACTGAAACCCGAATTAGCATGTCCTTAAGGTTAGGGCTGGAGTGCGCTCTCACTAACCACAAAAAGGCTTCGTGAAAGAATAGGTCAAATAAATACTGCCTTGCATGGCATTGGCGTAACTTGTCGCAACCGTATAACCTGTAAAGCATTCAGGATTATGAGAGTGATGCAACATATTCAGGCTCAAGCATTCCAAATAAAAAAAATCCTATTTGATAAATATTTGATTTGAAATGGCTCGTTTTTTTTCAGTTGCATATAAAAACATTTTGGAAATCACGTAAGGTATCGATTCAATGTCGAATTATTAAACGTGATAGACTTGGCATATTGATCTCTAAATAAGTGCCTAACGTTTATTACAAAAACGTAATGACTTATATTATCATTATTGTATAACTTTCGGTATACAATTTAATGCCGCTCCGATTTTCTTTCCTAATCATCGTTTCTTTATTATTTCATATTTGACGTTAATTTTATTCATAACAGAATACTTGCACATACATATCGTTTTAAGCTTATTTTCTAAAATTACACATTTTTTTTTTCTTTGCATAGGATGGTCTACGTATAGTTCGTGTCTATAATTAACAGTTCAATCTTTTGTTCAATTTAAAGTCGGAGTAAATCCTGGTCTTGACTATTCTATGAGGCACCAAGTGTAAATTTATTGTTTAACACAATTATTTATACTGTGTATAATTCATTATTTAACATATAATTGAATAGATCACCCATTATTTATATATAATGCATTTATGTCTAAAAGATTATACTGTATGTAAATAATTGCATTAAAACGTTTTCAGTATTTATATATAATTAGTTTACTGATTTGATTATATATAAATAATGAAAGGGTAACCAAACATTAATGGCTGTCTCTTATACACATCTAGATGTGTATAAGAGACAGTTTCATTATTGAGGTAGAGTGCCATTATATATAAATAATGGCATCGTAGGATAGGTCGCAGACCATCACCCAGTCGAAAATGGCACAGCAAGGGATACAGCAGATTATTGAATCCAGTGGTTTTGGAAGCTCATTTCGACATTATAAAACAGCCTACATGAAGTCATATTATAGTAGCTCGATGCCTATCAAATAAGTAATAAAAATTCGCCATAATTCGTCAAATATCCGTGGCTTTAGCCCGCTGGACCCCTACCGGGACCGTAGCCGGCCCCCCTGGCCCCCAGCCAAGTGAGGCTCGATTCGCTCCACTAGCCCCCACCCCCGTCGGGGCCTTTAGCTCCACCTTCGGCAGATCCTGGCTCCATCACTGATTGAATCTGCTGTACTGCAAATTTCAAATCAATTAAGAGAGAACACCAAAATGAACCACAAAGTTGATGAACCTCGGTATTATGCCTATCACCAGCAGCTGATCCGGACATTTCCCCGAACATTGCCCCGGGCCCGGACACGACAGACTCAAATCGAGATTCCTGAGGGCCGTGGCGTTCACTTTGGGGTTCTCTCTTAATTGATTTGAGATTTGCAGTACAGCAGGTTCAATAATCTGCTGTATCCCTTGCTATGCCATTTTCGATTGATGAACTTTAGAGCACTGATGAATATTTATTACTTCGTAATTTGCATAACGAAATATTTATAAGCCATGGCTTCCTACGATGTCATTATTTATATATAATGGCACTCTACCTCAACGGTTATTTATTTATATATAAGGCAGTAAGAAACCATTATTTAGGTATAATGACCTTGACACAATAACACGTGTGCATTATATACATATAGGCCTAATGAGTTTGAAGTCCAAGCATTTATACATATAATGGTTTTGCGAAGGCTATTATTTTTATATATAATGAAATATAAAAGCAGTTTATATAATGAGTTTGAAGTCAATTCGTTATTTATATGTAATGAAATCAGTGAACTATAATATATAAATAATTTTAAGTTATTTTTCATTATTTATATATAATGATTTGTTACCTTTTCATTATTTATATATAATGGAATCAGTGAACTTATTATATATAAATAATTGTAAGTTACTTTTCATTATTTATATATAATGATTTGTTACCTTTTCATTATTTATATATAATGGAATCAGTGAACTTATTATATATAAATAATTATAAGTTACTTTTCATTAATTATATATAATGATGTGTTGCCCTTTCCTTATTTATATATAATGAAACCAGTTACCTTATTATATAAAAATAATGTTTGGTTACCCTTTCATTATTTATTTTAATGAAATCAGTACACTAATTATATATAAATAATGAAAATGTTAACGCAATTATTTACGTACAATCTTTTAGACGTAAATGCATTATATATAAATAATGGGTGATCTATTCAATTATATGTTAAATAATTAATAATATATAAATAATTGTGTTAAATAATAAATTTACACTTGGCGTCTCATACTATTCTAGAGTCACTCTCCGATAAGCTATCTTCATAAGACTTCTACGAAATGGATACCTTGTATTAGGGTCTGTGCTTGTACCCAAGAATCAAGTTGTCTTTATACCCAATTTTGTACCACTCGTTTATATTAATCGGCGTGAATTTATCCTAGTTGGAAATTTATGTTTAAGCCTATAATTAAAAAATTAAAATTCTTTTTAGCTCTGATGAGAAGCTCTAGAAACACTCGGCTGATTGAATATGTATTGATTAATAAATCTTTTTGTATGGGCAGCCGTTAAAGCCAGCTCTGGAAACACTCGGCTGATTATCTTTTTTGTATGGGCGGCCGTTGGGGCCAATATACTCTACTGCTTCTATTATACTGCCCTCATCGGAGCTTTCGAGATTACGAGAACTTGTTTAGGTAACAAAATGTCAAGTGACTTTAATGAAACACCAAAACAATTCAGGTTTCACTGATTTATAGAGGTTTTCGTAATGGATAATAGTCAAAGCCAAATGCTACCTCACACACGTCAGGTAGGGCAAACATCACTTCGTAGTGTGCTACTTACTACCAGGCTTAGTTGACAACGCTGTATTGCACGTGTGCATTCTCTAAACCTTTGTTCACACATACATACACTATCAAATAGTATGTGACAAATTTATGTGATAGGCCAATATTTGGGTGTAATATGACATCATCATGCCCATATATGGGCACATCACACAAAGTTGTCACATAACATTTGATACTGTAGTGTGGACACAAAGCTCTAAATATAGGCTACGTTCAGACCTGAGATACGCCAGGCGTATCTAACGCCGGGTGTACGTTAATCCATGGCGTAACTAGCGAGATGTCCAGACTGGGCGATCAACGAACGCTAGCGTAAGTATTCGCGCGAAATATTCGTATTCGTAATTCGCGCATTTTATTTTCTGTTTACATTTAGGCTTATTTTGATTGGTCAAATCCCGGCTGAGTTTAAAATCACTGATGCGTGACTGTCATAAATCATTGGCGTACGCTAATCTGGGGTCTGTTGCAGGATTACCGTACGCCAGTGATTGCGCGATAATACTGGCGTTCGCTACGCCGCGCCCAAGTTCACACCACTTGATTAACGATACGCTAGCATAAGTCGTTGTGTCTGAACATAGCCAAAGTGAGAAATCAATGCGTAATGAAATGGACAGTAACAATAAATACAAATGATTAAAGATGGATTAGGGAATGAAACGATGTCAAAAAGACAAAGATAGATTAACATGAAATGGTGGTTCAGTAGTAAGGGTCGTTCCCACTGACTGTATATAAATATAATGGTGTAAATAAATGCTGACGGTCGCAAATGATGAGCTTCTGCTGGATGGTTCACCCTCACTAAATATGGTTCAAATAAAATACATGAATAAACTTGTGGAGTTGTAATATGTATAGGCAAAATTTTAACATTTTAAAATAAGGCCTAGTGTTGAGTATCCATTAAAAAAGCACTTGTATTGTCTTAAAGAATAGTCCTGCGTAGTATTGTGATTGTGAACCCAAATTCAAAATTATGTCTGTGCTAACATCCTTGACTCTATCGAATAGCTGACTTTGATTGATGCAGTTTATAACACAAATGCAAACAAAGTTGTCACGCTAGTCCACACTACAGCAATTACGTAAACGTATCGATGACATGCCGTTACTACGCCTACGCGCGCGTCAAAATTTCTCCAGTTTGATTCAAGGCTTATTTGCGCAAACTTTTGCGCAAAATTTGCAGCAGACGAGATCGTTAAATAAAATGTACGCGCAAGTGTAACATGGAATGGGACTTGGAATAAATCTGCAAATTTTGCGTATTCGTTCAACAAATTATTCTCTCTTCCTCGTTGCCCATTAGGTCATTATATCGGTTTCATTATAAATGGAACCCGATGCTTTTGCTTTTCCTAAGTATTGATGGAGTTTAATGTTTAATTCTTCGTTTTCTCGTGTTTGATCCACTTTCCTTAAGAAGAGCATCGTATCAGTTTCGCTGACTTTCTTCCTTTGTTGCCCAATATGATTCAATTGCACGAAAAATGCCTTTGACTCTGACTCGTCAACCACTAACGATGGAAGCCTATACGCCATTTTTGGGTCATTGAGTTTCTCTCGAGCCTGCTTATTCCAGTCGTTTGATACAGCCCCAGTTGCTGCAATGGCGCTTTGTTGGCGTCCTGTTTGAGGCTGTGACACACCTGCGAATGATTGACTCCTCCCTCGCATGTTTCCCGTCACAGGTGGAGCGCTAGGCGACCGATAAGCCATTGCGCTCTGCCGCCTCATACGGAGGACATCCGACATGATTGCGCTTCTACTCCGACGTCGCCTAAACCGACCTGAAAATTCACCATTAGGACCAGTAAGATCTGCAGCACTGAACATTCGCATTTCTGTCTGGAAGGCTTGCGCTTTAAGAGACGCCGTAGATGGACCAGAACGTGTATCATGCATCGGCATCATTAATGGAGGATTTGCCGGTGGTATTGATGTATTTAATTTGATCTGGTGTTGAAGTCCCAATAATTCCATTGTATTGGCGCTTGCAGGAGGTTTTCCTGCATCGTCCTTACAACTGCTTCGACGTCTGCCAGAAAATGCATTTCGAAATGTAGGAATAACCGGGGGAGAAGGTCGTTCTGCTCGAAATTCATCGTCGTCATCGCTAGAAGACTCATCATCTTTAGCTATTGACATTTGAGTTCTTCGAGAAGGTGTTAGCCCGCTGAATATTAAGTTTGGTCTTGTTTCATCCTGATTTTGATCCTCATCAGTATCTGTGAAATCATCTGACTCACTTTTAGAGTCAGTGGCATTACCAGCGAAGACAACGCGCCGATCTGTTCGATTGGGTTGTGCAGTTGTAGGGCTACGTAACGCAGACTTACTTGGTTGTCCTTTAGTTAAGGTTTTGGCCCCTTTTGGGCGACTTTTCACCTCACTGTCGATATATGCTATCCGAGGTTGGCTCCGTATTCGAAGTTTTTCCTTCTTCTGTGCCTTAAATTCAACTTCAACTTCTTGTTTTTCTCGATAAAGTATCGACATTTTTATTTTCATCTGTTTCTCAAGATTAATAATATTTCGAATGTACATTGATGTAAGTTTTGCATTTGCAAAATGAACTTTCTCCATTCTGTTCGGAGATTTCTTCTTTTTACTAATTTGCGCCATAGTAATGTGAAGCGCTTAGAGGCTTTGTTAAGGCATTAAGCGCTATATAAGAACGACATACTGTATTATTATTATTGTGATAGTGCCAAACTTCCAATGACATTAGTTATTCGACATTAAAGAAATAATTGCAGTTGATATTTACAATCTAGAGTCACGAACTGCTACCGCTCCTTAAAACCAAAAATTTTTTGTCTCATAAATTCTGTTACTGTAGATTGAATATAAAAATTATATAAAACATGAAAATCCTGTCAGATCAGTCTGTCATCACAGCAGACGTCACACCATTGCTGCGATATACTTAGCTTTTCTGTTTTGTTTTAGTGAATCAACATGCAGTTCATCTCAGCGGGTATTCGTGTTGTTCTTTTTCACTTGTCATTTCCTCGAGATACGATATCTAAATGTACTTCTGAGACACGATCTCTAAATTTACTTCTATACAGCATACAGTATGTGCTCCGAAATGAAGTAATTATGCCTATGATGAGTTACAGTGTGGAAGCAGCCGTTCTTGTAACACATTATACATTTTTAATACTTGGATAATTATTTCGAGGCCCAATACGTTCAATACAGGTACGTACATTGGTAATCGTAAAGTGACCAAGCTTTAATGGTCGTCAAGTTGGCTGTTATTGAAATCAAATTTTATCCATACAATAGAAGTATCAAACAAAAAAACTACACGTTCCTTTATTCGAGAACTCTGGTCGTCGTCACATAAAAATCCATAACTAAATATTTACTTAGTGGCGTCATTGAAGTCTTGTGGATCATGTTTCTTTACACTAAAAGTTTTTAAGAAAAGAGAGAAAGGAAAATCGAAAACGCCAATAGCATTGTGGGTATTTGCCAAAGATCTTATAAACACAAGATAGCGTTCTCCGCGATTTACGCGTGCAAATTCTGTAATAAGGCATGAATGGCGCCCTCTTGCTAAATTGGAAACTTTTGACCCTTGACCGCTATCCTCTGACCATACATAAGTTTGAAACGTATAACCGTAAACACATTATAGACAGATATATATATATAATTACTAACATGCACTTGGATGCAGATATTTTCTAAATGAGTACAAGAAAGATAGGCTGCACACATGTATATACATTCATAATTATAAGGCTTTGTTATATAGGTCTACATCTACAACAACTTAGTACTGTAAGTATTGAAATACACGCCATTGTGTTGGGATTCAATATTTCGACATTAATTGTGTCATTATTAGTACTGTACATTGTATTACTACTGTGTTTTCTTGTACTCGATGCGAAGACTTTTAAATGGTTGTTGAATTACGTAGTCTACTAGATTAACATCTGATGTACATTAGATTGATTTACTCACCATATGAGCACGCGAATTTGTTTTGTTAATAAACTCTGTGGTTATATAGGCTCATATATTTAGGCCTTCCTTAATTAATTGCTTTGTATTGCTACACTCGGCTAGCAACAGGCATGCGTACTTCTGCTTAATGAATAAATGGCTGCTCAAAGGATAATAAATGAGTAGCAGCACATTACGGCTTATCACAGTAGTAGAACTGAATTTTATTGTACGCGGAAAATATACGTGTCCAGACAGATATACATCATGCCATTAACGTTCATTTTCTCTATACGTAGAGCACGTGGTATTAAATTATATATCTATCTAACAGCTGAATCTAAAATCAGGTCGTGTTAAAATCCGCTCTATAAAGAGACTACTATTTAATCCCATATCACCGATCAAGCACGGTAGCAAACATGATCAATGCAAAAAAACGAAGAAGAAAATAATTTTCATGAGGCGGGCTGGTATACGTGGAAATTAAGTCTGTAGGGATGGATGATAGCAAAGAGAATGTAGGGCGTAAATTGTTCCGTAATAAATAATTGTTTATGAATCATACAGGCGTGCCAACACTTAAGGATATTTCATCTCACAACAAATTAAATGAATTTGCAGTAGGAAATTTTGCCAAATTATTTTTTTCTTATCTTAATATAATGCTAACACATGGAAAATCAACCCAGATGCGTAAACGTTAAATCAGTGAATGAAAGATTGACGTTTGTCTTTCGTAATTTATACAAAAACAGGAAAGTGAACATGAAAAAGTGCGCCCTCCAACATTCGCATAATTAATGTTCCGTATTTATTACGAGGGATCGTTTCTAATTTACAGACGACAGGAAGCTGTTGAACGTTGTGTGCATGTATTGATACCATGTAGATATTCGATATTATATGCAATTCTTAAATATATAGGCCTACATAGTATATATATATATTGACGAAATATTTATAGATACAATATCTGGAAGTCACCCTGTAACTTGGCGCCGTGTTTTAGCCTATCTGCATCAAGTCGCATTCTATGGAACATTTCAAGATTGAATCTGACGGTAAGTGGCGTAATAAAACACCAAATCCCAGCCAGAGAATAAGTCTTAATTCCTCTATCTGCTGATTTAAATTTGTTAAGATTATGCCAGTGTGTACGCAGAGTCAGTGGTGGCTCTAGAAATTAAAAGGAATCCCATGCTTAGGGAAACATAAAACACATGGCTTAGTATGGCCCAAATTGTGATTTTATACAATATTAAGGATTGACAATCTAGATCATGTTATTTATACAGGCAATTACTTTTTTTGATCCGACGACCTCGTCGTAGCGTCAAACTATCGGGGGTCCCGGCCTGTCCAACAGGGAAAATTCACCATTCCCCCGCTGGGAAGCGCAGAGTGAAGGACGTATTCACTTTTGAGATGATCTTTCCGCTAAGCCCCGCCCTGTTCTAATTTGTCAGTTGTTGATTGACACTCTTTGAAGGTCCATTATATCTAGGGTGGGATTAGCGCGGTTTTAAGCCGGCACTCACAGCGCACGACAGTCGTCGGCCGACGAGATTCTATGGAACGCAAAGCCACGACGCGCGTACGTGCAACGGATCGTTTTAATGATATGAAGACCCGTTCAGACTGCTACCGATAATCAGCAGACGGTAACGCTCACATGGAGTGGATTTGGATTCGTTGGCCGACCGTCGTACGACGCAGTGAGTGCCCGGCTTTCCACATGCAATGTGTGTGTACATTATGGATGTATAATGTTATACAGTAGGCCTACCTCCATGGTGTACATACAGGGTGGAAACATAGTACCACGTGACGGTACACACGGTGTAGACAAGGCCACTGGTGTGAACTCAGGAATTACACTGCTTTCTGTTTGAAAGACGTCTTTCATAAACACAATATAGATAAATACTATTTCAATACTGGTAATTATTAACATGCAATTTGGGCGATGTGGATGGAATAAATCATAATGTCAGTGATAAGTGCTGATAACTGGACATCAATAATTAATTATTAGCCTGTAGTCCTAGGTCTGGTCGCCAAAATGCATTCTTAGTCAGAAATTATAAAAAAATTAAAGTATACAGTACGGTATTTAGTTTAATCAATCTGTAAAGATGATTACATTTTAGATACACATTCAAAATGGGATCGAGTATTTTATTTTTTATATAAAATCATTTTTTATTAAAGAAAAATACAATAAAAGAATGTCACAAAAAACATGTTTTACATTTTTGTTTTTATATATTTTCTGAAGTATATAAATGCAAAGATACAACACAATGTATAGGTTAATATATGAAAAATATACTATATTGCGAATATCGTACTTAGTGTTTGAAAAAAATGTTTACGTAGGTTAGGTATAAGGAGATATCAGACAGAGTAGATTTTATTGCTTAAAATAATGATAATAGGCCTATATAACCTACATATCATGGAATTATCACTAATATCTCTTTGTTTTCAACAATGAATATCTCTTTACATGTTATCTCTTTGTTTTTCGATTTTGTATTTCTGAGTTTTAAATGGTTTTAATGTATTCTCATGTAACTCAGCGTTAATGCTGCCATTTGAAATTGAATAAATATTGAAATTGAAATTAACTCCATGATGACCAGTGGTGGGCATACAAATCGGTCGGAGGGCCAAAGTGAATTTTTGGTTTTACACCCAAATTTTGATGTTTCCAGTCCCTTCCAAAAACCTCCAAACACTGGATTTACACCACTTTATTCTCACTTTTAATGTTACTTTTTACATATGATCGCAGTTGGGCCGTAAAAAAACAAGGTGTTATCAACCAATGTTGCTTGGCGTGCCGCACAAATATTGTTTTTAATTCATTTTCGCGGGCCGCAAAAAATCGGTGTCGGGCCGCTTACTTTGCCCACCTTTGGCCTAGACCTACATGTAGGCCCATGCTTCACCTGGCAAAGCCAGCATATTGTGACAGAAGTTTGGCTGTAATAAACGTTGTATCGGTCTGTAAAATGTTGTCTGCTTCAACTTTATTACAGACTAACACAGCTATACAGTACATTAGTATCTGCTATGTGATTCTAGCCTCACACCGGGCAAGAGCAACCACTAGTTACCCTCGCCCAACGAAGTGGGGTGAGGGTATTGCAATGAGCTCCGTCTGTTGTCTGTCTTTACCCTCGCCCAACGAAGTAGGGTGAAGATGCACGTTTTGAGTGTAAAGATAATCGAACTTATGGGGTTCGAATCTCACTCTTGCTTGGTTTTTTTTAAATTATTATTATTTCGTTAGTTTTATTATTTGTGCATATATATTAAAGATTTAAGAAAAAAAATTGTGAAAAATAATGAAATGAAGAAATGTATTCTATAAGACGTCTGTGAAAGCCGATTTTGAGATATGCTGCACAAAAAAAGAAAAAAAAAAAAATCACGCAAAGCGTTTGATTAGGCCTATCTTTACACACAAAACGTACATTTTACCGCTCGACCACATTTTACCTGACACATATAGCCAGTAATAATTATTCAACTGTAATACACAACAACCAGTGAATACAAAGATATGGCGCGACAGCAGGGCTAGGGTTTGTTATCTCAGATTATCTTGTTGTGGTCTCAGGTACACTGCTCTGAAATATTTTAAAAGCACACCACTAGGAATTTTTCGCTGACTACTGTAAGCCCTTATTTTCGTGCGCTCTTAATTTTTTTGAACTATTTTGTCAGCCATTTCAGGTTCATGATGAGTGTGCTTGTCTTCTAAGCCATCCCATTATTATACTGTCATCATATTCATATATGTAAGACTGGTGACTGTCCTTGTAGAATACAATATGCGAGGGTTATATAATCTTAATCTGGCTTATGCCGTCCTGTATATTATATAATCAACCAGATTACAACAGTTTAATTACTATACTGTAACAGCCTCAAACGCCGGGAACCAGCGTAGATTTTTTAACCAATTTCTAAATACGCCATTTTGGAATTCATCCTAATTATGACTGTAAACACACGCGTTACAGGGTTTTTTGGACTCAAAATATTACGTATACAGGTATGAATAGCACGTCTTCCTCTAAAATTTTAGACTTATACTAACTCTAATGCTTACAAAAACTTAAAGATCAGTCTACCTAAGCCTAGGCCCTCGGCATACCCTAGTCTAGGCCTACCTAGATAAACAACTTTCGGCTCGATCATGTGTGGAAAGAAGCCTGGCTTAGGGGCGAAGGGCCTAGGTATTTAGAATTGCCAAGAGGCTCCCTACTTTAAGTGTCATAGTGGGTCCACCTAATAGTACCTCCTTGGTGTTCTATTACCTCAGTGCAGGCCTATTTGAATTCAATATTTCTACTACTAGCCTCCTATATTAGGCTTAAGGCCTACTATAGCCCTATGTAGACATAGGCCTATCTAACCTAGACTCGATTTCATTCCAGAGGTTCAACCTAACTACGCCTAGGCTAGACTTGCCCCCCCCCACTCCCTCCCGTCCTAGTCCAAGACTGGCTTAAATACTATATTATTTACTAGATTTACTGCTCAGTTGCAGCTAACTGGTTATAATATTGGTATTCATGTTATCAGTTAAAAGCTAGCCTTGGCAAGGGAATAAAAAAAAAGGTCCAGGGAGGAAATTTTACAGATTGACCACCTAAGCCCCACCATGGTAATTTTGAAAGTATTGATAATTTATTATTTAATTTTAATCATACAGGTAATTTAATATGTCAGCTGCTCTGTATTTAGATATTTACATTGATAATAATAATAATAATAATAATAATAATAATAATAATAATAATAATAATAATAATAATAAATAATAATATGTGATCTGTGATAACATTAAAAAAAACTATAAATCAGATGTTGATCAATTTAGGAATGTTGCTTGTTTGTAAAATATTTGCAACTTATTGAAAACCAATATTTTTTTCATCTATAGTCTATTCATTTCATCCATCCATCCATCCATCCATCCATCCACTCACTCATTCTCTCACTAATTTACTCACTCACTCACTCATTCTTTCATTTATTTATTCACCACTCAATCAATCACTTATTCATTCATCTATTTATTTATTTATTTATGCATTCATTCATTCATTCATTTAATAAATAAATAAATAAATAAATAAATAAATAAATAAATAAATAAATAATTAAATAATTAAATAATTAAATAATTAAATAAATAATTAAATAAATAATTAAATAAATAATTAAATAAATAATTAAATAAATAATTAAATAAATAAATAAATAAATAATTAAATAAATAAATAAATAAATAAATAAATAATTAAATAAATAAATAAATAAATAATTAAATTAATTAATTAATTAATTAAATCATTCATTCATTCTTTCATTCATTTTCATTTATTCATTCGATTTTATTTATTTATTCATTCATTTATTCATTCATTTTTAATCATTCATTTTTATTCATTTATGCATTCATTCATATTTTCATTCATTCATTTTCATTCATTTTTTATTGAATATGGTTATAAAAACAAATGTGTGTTTTCTTCATGATTGAAACTAAAAATAATTTTTTGGAACAGTGGCGGATTTAAGGGGTGGGGGGGGGGCAGCTGGCCTTGTCCCCACCTAAAGTTTTCAAAATAAAAAAAAATGGAGAAAAAAGGAAAATTATACAAGGATACAATAGTGATACTAATAATAATATTAGTAAATAAAAGTATTATTATTATTAATAATAATAATAATAATAATATTCCATCCATTCGTCCATCCATTTACTCACTCATTCTCTCACTCATTTACACTCACTCATTCTCTCACTCACTCATTCATTCATTCATTCATTTATTCACCCACTCACTCACTCAATCACTTATTCATTCATTATTTCATTCACTCATTTATTCACCCACTCACTCACTCAATCACTTATTCATTCATTCATTCATTTATTCATTCATTTTCATTTATTCATTCGATTTTACTTATTCGGTCATTCATTCATTTTCAATCATTCATTTGTATTCATTCATTTATATTTTCATTCATTCAT